AACAGCTCTTTGTTAAGAATATAATGTAGACCCTTAAAACACTGTTTACCAGTGTGCTGTACAGTGTTCTGTAATATTGCTAAATGCTTTCAACTCTTAAAACTTCCCAAGTCTTTGTGTACCTGCAGTAAAACTGTTTTGCCAGCAGAGTTTGTAAAGCTTCTCAATCAGTAGTTCTGTTAATCTTTGTGGCTCTCCTTCTGCCCTGCCCTGTAGTCCTTAGCAGCTTACTCCATGACAGTTCATTAGATTTCAGGTATACTGAATTGTAGCTGAGGCTTTAGTTGACCAGTAATATCAATGGAAATGTCATAATTTAATTTAAAAAAAGAAGAATGCTGGAAGCTTGGTTTTGCTGAAGATGCCTGTTCTCCTGGTTAGCATGTTTTGGTTTCCTTATTGTATTTTTGGGGGGGGAGAGGAAGGAAACCAAAAACTTGCTTGTAATAGCACTTAAGACTGTAGTCTTGGAGTATTACAGATGGAAACACTGAAGTTCCTTTGGAGATGGTGGTTTGGGATACTCCTTTGGTTGTCTTGATCTGGAGAGAAAGAAGTGATCTTTGTACTCCTTAAAAGGTGCTGAAACTAGAAACATCCTGTAATAGATCTGTGTTTGGGGGTAACAACTTAAAGAGAAGCTGGTGTAAAGCTTCTCCTTGTAGCAAGGTGGTGGAAGGTGTGAACTGTAAAATCAGTTGGGGCACCTCTCCCCCAGTATAGGGAAGAGCTTGGACACTTGCGCTCAGAACAGCTGTATACATGTATGGAATCAAAATGGGCTCAGGTTATTCTAAGTTACTGAAACTAAAAATGTAGAATGTGTACTAAAAATGTAAATTTATTAGTGTTTTGCTCCAAATCTCCATATTAAGAATTTTAAACTAAACCTAAAAAGTTGCATGATAACTTACAAATTAAGGTTGAAATGTGAGAGTAGAGGATGAGTTGAGAAGTATATTTGTAAAGTGGGAGGTATTTACTCTTAATGTTTTTATGTTCATGTCACTTTTGCAGCCATAACTAATAATGTGAGAAAACACTTCTGAGCTCTTGAAATTGAGCAAATAGTTCCTGGACAATGTTATATAATTAAAATCTAAAATAATGGGGATGCCCTATCTATGGTCTAAGAGATAATTACTGTGTGCACTCTGAATGTACATTGTAACTTTTTGGACACTTTATCAATTCCTACAACTGGTGTATTGTATATAAACAATTTAAAATGTAGAAGTAGAATCCTCTGCAAGCTTCAAGTGGCTAACTAAAAAGGTTTTATTTCCTTTTAATGATTCATTATTTATGCTTAGAGTTGACTTACATTTGTTTCTGTATGTAAATTATTGAAAAATCTTGTTTAAAGCGGAGGAGAGATAACTGGCTATAATCAAGCAGTGTTTTTCTGCTGTTATTTCCGAGTTGTTGCACATAAGACCATAACAAAGTGGACAAGACTTGAGTATGAAGAAAAATTCTGTTGTGTTCTTAAGCAGCTTTTGAGTTTTTACACATGATAAAAACATGCCAGTGTGAATGTCATAATTGGTTGTATGTACTCAGTTATAGTTGTGGAAGAATATGAAATTGCAGGCTTGCAGGGGACTTCAGAATTTGTGCAGACTGTTCTGAAAGAATGGTTTTGAGTAAAAATGATTAATTTTAATGCTATACCAGTAAAAATGCATTCCTTTAGTTGTGTAGCATTGAAAGCTGGGGCTGGCATTTCAAATGGTGTTGAATGTATGGGTTTAAAGGCTACAGGTTACGGTATCATGGAGGCAGTGGAGACATGAGTCAGGGTCTATATCTTGTTTTAAAGCTAGAGGACTAAGGGCAGGTACAGGCTTGTGAATGCTGTTTCCAAGTATTATTGTTAAGAATGCTGGACTCAAATGTGAGTTTTAGGGAAAAGTGGGAAGTAAATAATGTAAATTACTTCCAGTAAGCGGTACTATATCTTAACAACATCAGAGCTCTGAATCACTGGAGATTATTCATCTGGCAGGCTCCTTTGAGGCCCAAAGTTAAGACTGGAAACCCAAGGATGTGCATTTGGAGTGGGAAGGAAAGCAGCTTCAGGCTTTTTGGGATGGACAACATAGTGAAATACTCATAGCCTGTTGTTACTGACGCACAATGGAGTTGTAGAGAGAGGTCAGTATGTGTGATTTTTGTTGAAAGAACTGTAGCAAAATGACATCTAACTTGAAACTAGGTTTAGGTTTGACTGTTTTGGTCAAACAGAAGACTATCACAAGACTACTTGGTCTTGTGGAGAGGTGAAGCAGGGTGCTGGAGTTGTATCTAGTCTGGTGCCTTCCTACCTACTGATGTTCATGGTTGCTGCTGTTCAAGGCACTTCAACTTTCTTTGAGTGGCTGTTGTGCAAACATGGTAGCCCAGCTTCTGTTCTGGTGTTGGATGAAATCTAAGATCAAGCTTGAAGTAATTGTCTCTATTTTCCGGTAACTTTGTCTAAAACTTGGAAATCTATCATCCTCTTGGGCTGGCATATAGATAGCTGGAAAAGGGGAAAAATGTTTTGTGTTCTGGTTTTGTGGTGGTGATGGGGAAAGCCAAAACCCCAAAGTAATAATAATAAAAAAAAAAATTCCCATTAAAATATCAAGTTCCACCTATCCCCTTATGATACTTAAATTGGTAAAGTCTAAATGCGGTTAGAATTATCTTAAACAACAGCAAAGAAGTTATTTGAAATGCAGAAGCACAGCGGAAACAAGCAATTGCATTACTAGAACATCACATTAATGGTTAACATCTTTGAATTACTGTACCATCAGTATGGTGAAACTCTTGCACAGGACGCTGTGGGCACAAGCAGGAATAGTTGAAGCAATGTTAAATAAGGAAGAAAACTACCACTTGTAGCTATTACTACAGCTGTTGTGTGATCATGAGAGCCCATAGGGTTTTCTATAGTGTTATCCAAACAATGTTAGGAATAGATGTCTTTGTACCAGAAGTGGCTTCTTATTCTGTGGTGCTTCAGTTACTTTTCAATCTCTTCAGTGCACCTACTGAAATGTTTTTGAGTGTCTTTTGAGAATGTTGATACGCATTCCAGTGTGGTTTTATGAAACTAACAAGAAAAAAAAATTGCAACTTTTTCACTGCGCTTTTGTAAACTAAAGCTTAATTTAATGAACTAATTTAATACTTCTACCCCGCAGGTCCTTTCAGCAGAAAGCGTTATTCAGTTGTAAAGTGTCGGCTTCTTTTTAAGGAATTTTGAAGTTTTTCAAATGGATTTTGAGATTCTGTACCAAAATGCTTTTGACTTTTCAGTCCATCTCAACAGATGACACTTCCTGGGATCAGTGCAACTCATGAATATTCTAAGCAGCAACTAATATATCAAATCTAGTACAGTTCCTGCAGTTCAGTGAATGCAACTTATAAGCATTCACAGATGCTGTTCCTTAACAGGGCTTTTGTAAGGCTTTACTGTTGTCAACAACACATCAGATGTGATACTGTTAGCTGCCAAAACAATGTACTAAAAGTGTCCTTCCATCTTCAGCAGAGCTCATTTGTAAACCTCCCTTTAATTTCTCTTGGATTAGAACTTTTATGTGAGGTTTATTCTAACGTGGTTTTTGCCTTCACAAATAGACTTCAATGAATATTTACTCAATAAAAGTAAAATTGTATATTTTCACTTGTGCATTCATAAAAAGCAAAACAAGGCTTTACTTAATTCAATACACCAAAGAATATTAAAAAAACACTTCAGGATTCATTATGGTGGGGAGTATGTTCTGTAAGTTTTGTTTTAATGTTATATTTGTTAAAAAAAAATCAAATCTTGTAAGAGCCGTGAGCATGCTTAAATCTTTTGTACAGAAATATTAATTAAAACCTTCTGTGTGTTTACACATTTTTCCTTTTTGAATCTGCCAGCTTCCTGGTTAATCATCAAACAACTTTGATACAGTGACAGATTGCCATCAGTGTTAAGGCGTACATCTTTTCAGCTTCCACAAGCAATGGAGCTGAACTGTTAGGTAGTCCTGGTGGTCTTCTGTAGTATGTGCAGAGGCTGGTGGCTGGTCATTTGCTATCCGTGAAGTCAGGACGCATGAACTATTTTGTATTTCAAGAATGTATCTTCCTGCATAGCTGCTTTTTGGGGAAAAAAATCTCCTCCAATTAAGTTCGAATACAGCTGCTGCAGTAGTTGCGGATTTAAAGGCAAGGCTGTAGTGTATTAGTATTAATAATAATGTATTAGTGACATGTTGGTCTGTAGAGTACTTTGCCTTGTTTTCTTAATGATTGTCTGAATACTCCTCCTTCCCTCCTGAAGACAATGTAATGCACTGTGAAAGGTGTCCTGTAGTAGGGAAATAAGTCTTTGTTATTTACCTAAGCGTACTTTTTGCATCTTTTTTGGTTTATGGATGGACTTGTTAATTTCACTACTGGTATGCAGTCCTGGGATTGACTGAGGACAATGTCTTTTAAAGATGTTGGCACCATGGCTTGGCTTTTTCATCACCCTTTCCTTCCAGGTCATGTGTCAGAAACTGCTAGTTTGGTGTTCTGGGTGCTTACTTTGCTTCCACAGGGATGGACTAACATATTACAAGTTTCCCTGATGGGGACAGAGTTGCAGGATGCATAGATCACAACCAATGCTTACTAGAACACCTTGTATTAATTAAGCCATTATTAATAGCAACAGGTTGATTCCATTAATGGCAAGTAACTATTCATACAGTGCAAGCAACTATTCCCAAACAGGCTTATTCAGTTATTGGGTTGGAACAACAGCTGGGAGACTTCCACAAGAGTTGAGGGAGTGTACTGGTGCACCAACAGCTTCTAGGTGGGTGTTCAAAAAAAAAATTCTCTTGAGGCTTTCTCTTTCATCAAGTATGTATGTAATCCCATATTCCCTGACTGCCTATAGCAGCTGCTGCTTTCTTGAATGCAGTTTTTTCCTTTTTTTTTTTCTTTTTTTTTTTCTTTTTTAGCAAGCTGTTGTGTTGATGATAGTGTGTGCTAGTGGCCTCAGACAGGGTGAGCAGAGTCTTGGTGTTCTGAGTTTCTTGGTTGTCCTGGATTCCACAGGACCGTTAGTCTTGAGCTTACTGGTTCTTGGGAGACTTTCACACTTTATCAGCATCAGCTCTCCAGCTTGTTATTTTCTGGTGGCTGGATCTTCAGCTACAAACAAGATCTGTAGAGTCCATTCACACAGACTTGCACAGAAGGGATTTTTGTGACAGGCATTTGCTTGTTTCCCGAATAGCAAAAAACATTCTGGGAACTGGGAACTGAAAAGGTAGTTTGTATTTGAAAGTTATACTATGTCTTACTAACTGTTCTAGTTGTCAAACTATGCTGCATGTTCAGAGACCCTGACAGCACTGGAATTTAAAGCAACTGTGCACTTTTTGGACAGACTGCAGTTGTTCAAGCATGCTACTTTTATCTGGGCTAAGCCAAGAGACTGTCTTCTGTGCACAAACATGAATGCCTTCAGTTTGAGAGGGAAACATATTTAAAAATCAGCAAACCCTGTAAGTGAAGAATAAATCTGGGGATCTCTTTCCAGAGGAAGGGTGTGAAAGTACAACGTTAGCTAGTTAGCACTGCACAAAAAATCTTCCAATGAAAGTGCTCCATATTATGTTCGCTCAGAGGTCAAATTGTAAATATCCTGAGAAGTAACCTTACAGACTACTTAACTTCTAATCCCTCTCTGGTTTTGATGAGTTTCTGGAAAGTAACTTTCCAATATTCAAAATAAATGCACTTCTTTCATTTTCAAAGCGCTTATACATATCATGCTCTGTGGGAGCTTCTGAGTGGAGTCAAGTAGTACAGCGATGTATCTAGACAAATGGTTGCTAATATGATGTGGTGATGGTTGGCTTTCTAAGAAGTAATGCAGTCATCTGCCTGTTTGAGTGTAATTGCTTTGGGCAGTGGCAAAGGTCGTCTGCTAAACTGAAGCTGTGTGCAAGTTCCCTGGTTTTCTAGTCCATGTTACGAAAAGTTGAAAGTGTGAAAATTGCAGAAAATGTTAGAAGTAATAGTTCACCATTTCTTTTTTACATCTATAACTTATACAGTGATTTCCAGCTGTTCTCTTTTCAATCTCCAAATAGCTCCATCAGATACACTAAAACAAACCCCAGACAAAAAAGTCTGGGAGCTGTTGGATCCTGCTAACTTATGTTTAAGAAAGTGTCCACTATTACTAAAAAAGCTCTTATATTGCATATAGTAGCTTAAGATTCGGAGGTAAAACTGAGCATTAAGTACCAATATATTAGTATCAAAGCACCTGTAATGAAAGCTGCTCCAGTTCAAGTTAATTACTTTAAAGTAGAAGGGAAAGCTAAGGTAGCAAGCGCACTATGCATTTGCTGAGCAGTAAATCTCTCCAGTGGTGAACTTTATTTAAAGAAATATTAAGTGGCTACAAATACTGTTTGTTTATATGCTTATAATAAACAAAAAGAAAACCCTCCTCTCTTTTCAGAAACTTTTTCACTAAAAGGACAAAGGAACTCAAACCTGCTATCCAAAGTGCTCCCGGTTGGAAGTTGTTTGGAAAAGTCCCACCTAGGGAAAACCTTCCAAAAGATTCCAAAATTATTCAACAGGTGAGTAAACATCACACAACTATAGGTACAAAACTTCTAAAAAGGAATGCGTAGGTGTTGCAGTTCTCTGCTGTTAACTTCCCGCTGTTACTATGCAACCATAGAGTGCTCTGGAAAGACTCTTTTGGGGATTTGTCTGAAGAACAGTAGTTACTGAGGAGGAGTGTGAGTTTTCTGATTGTCTTGTACATTCTTTGGTACATCTCAGTGCTTTTAAAAACGTGATATGTATTGAAAAAGTGTTTAAGCTGTTTAGGTCAAAACATCAGAACTTGTATTAATTTCCTGTAAAATTTTGCCTGATTGAACGTGACATGCTACAATTTTTTTTAATGGTTAAGTGATTGTGAAATACTCCAGGCTTCCTTTATGAACTTCAGTTCTGAGTTACTTTTACCTATTTCGTGCAATAAAGCCACAGTCATACTTGTATATTCAGTTTTTCTTCAAACTAGATATTAATCTAGTAAAATTTATCCTCTTAAAGCATTCTTTGATATTCTACTGTTACAAAAACTGGGGGTTTTGAGTGTGTTTGTGGTTGTTCTTTTATTTTTAATCTAACTCTTCTTTCCATAGTCCTTCTTGCCTGGAAGACTTACTATCTGGGTGACTTGTGACAAATTGCTTAGAATTTTGAAACATGTAACCTTGTTGCACTTAAACCTTGGGCTAGATTAAAAGTCCTTTTGTTTCAAAATAGTATTGTAAGTTGAACTTGTTTTGGAGGTACTGTGGTACTACAGAAAGGTAATTCTGATTTCCTTCCCCTAATACCAAGTTGTACATCCATATATTTGTTCCTGCGGAGTCTGTCTTTAATTTGATAAAATAATAAGTAAAGATGAGCAATTGGTAATGTATTATTAACTTCATGTTAACATGCAATTCTGAAGTTGAAAGATTTGTTGACATAAGAAATGGGAATGTCCTTTGTGTTGGTGAGAACAGTAACTTGAATCTCTTGAGAGCTGCTTTCTCTTTGTCTTCCTTCTTAAATTCCATCTAAGCTGATGTGTTTGGCAGGTGCAAATGGCTGTGAATGAAGCAGTGTTCAGCCATCTTCTAGAAGGAGCTTCGTGGTGAAGAGGGCCTTTGGGGAGCAACTAAAGTGAAAAACGAGAGGTTCTTTTTGAAGGACTTGTAATGGGACTGGTCACACAATGAAATATAGGAAAATTAAGATTGCAGCAAGTGCTATTTACTCTGAAGTAAACTGGATGCTTTTCCAACATTTTCAAGTACAAATATTTAAATGGTTTTCTTTTTGGGTGGGTGAGGGCAAGTGTTCTTTCTTAGTTACTTGCAGACAAATGCTCTTGGCCTTGTGCTATGAAAATACTGTGGTAAAAATCCAGATGTCTCCTCCATCCTGAGAAATGGAGAACACGCACAGTGCTCCCAATCATCTGCTTCCTGTTTTCTAGTAATCAAGATGATTATTCTGGAGACCAAGTCATAATCTGCAGAAATGGTCTTGTTTTCCTATCCTGTTGTCCCTTAGTGACTGTTTTTCTTTTAAACTATAGCGTTCCCATTTTTTTAACTCCTCTAAAGTGGCAGAAAAGCAAACATATTAAACCAATAACATGATTGAGTTAATCCTAGCTGCTAGTCGTCTTGTTTGTGTTATAATGGTTGCCAGATTAGGGTCACTATTGGATTTATATAATCTTGAGTAAAGTGTCAGTAATAGCTAATATTTTTAGCTTCTGATTTAGCTAAAGCATGCGTGGTCTTTAGATAAAGCATCATGAACTAAGATACACAGTTATCAAAAGGGGATCCAGATTGATAGTATACTCTGCACAGAGTTAGATGTACAATACCTGGGAAAAATTAATTCTTAAATTGAGAGGTGACCCTAATGTCTGCATATTTAATGTATGTCAAATGTTTTGCATGCGTTTTTAAAATTTACAGTATAGCTCCTTGTGCATATGCCTTTGAAGAAAAGCCAATGGTTTCTTTTCTCAAAAATGTTCAAATTTGCTAAGCTGGCAGTGGCTTAGGATGAATATAGGGACACTGGGTTATTGAAGATACAGTATCTTCACTTTTGAATGGCTAACTGAAGTCCCTAGACTAAATTTCTCACTATTACAGGAGATGAGTGAAAAGAATATAGGCAAGAATGTAGTTATGAGGCCTTTAAAAAGTTAGTAGAAATGTGATTAAAGCTTAATATGCTCTGTTCTCAAGGAATTCTGTGAACTTAGCAGAATGCTTCCTATCCTACATGGAGTGTCTCTGCAAACTTCTACATTGACTTTCTAAAAAGGCATTAAGTGTGATCTGAAATACAAAACCTGCATTTTTTTCCCCAATTTTTTTATCCCTCTGTGGTCAGAACAATGGCTGCTTACTGTTTGCCAGCTCTGGTAAATTGATAAGAGTATGCAGGTACAATGGGCTTAAGCTTTAGGCAAGCTGCCTGTGAGGGAGTTTATTATTAGCAACAAGTCTTGCTGTTCCTGAACAGCTACGGCATTCTCCATGGTTGAACGCAAAGTTCTGTGACTTCATTGGTGCCAGTGGCCAGCTTTGGAAGGGTGCAAATAAACCCTTGGTTAAGGAAACTCAGTAATGAGTCAGCATCCTTTAGATGAAAAATGAGATTTTAAGAAGCCCTTTTGCAGGGAAAATTAACTCATGACAGGAAAAACTTTGTAATTAATAGGAGGAGGAAGTCTTTTGGGTAAGGCTAATACTTATATCAAAGCTTTATGGCAATATTGCAAAGCTTAAAGGACTTTCCTGTTAGTAAAACAAGAAAAAAAATTGCATCATTGTAGATTTATAGTCAAAAGGGTCGTAGAGCTCACATGCCCTGTTTCCATCCTGGCTGATGGAAGCCTGCTTTGTTATCCTTGTTTTTGTAAGGATGATGTAGTAAATTGATAATTACATTTAATTGAATACTCGTGGCTCTCAGTGATTGTCTATCAACTAGACGTTGCTATGTATGCCTCTACAGTGAAGTCAGGTAGTGATTCTAATATCTTGAATAACTTCCAAGAAAATCTGGAAACTTAATTTGGGATACTGTTTCAGGCATTTTTCAGACAACGATGCCAGCCAGCTCTGCTTTTAGAGACTGTCTAACGAATATTACTGTAAAAAAACCAATTTCTTTGCAAGTTTCTTAGCACATGTAGAAGATGATAAATATTTTTGTCGAAAAGCAGCCTGCTGGGTTTGCCTGGCTGGGGAGATGTCAGAGTCTCCTGCAGCTGTGCTGCCATCAGCATGCTTTGGGCGAGATGCTCTAGCTCGAACTGGGTCAGAGGTTGAAAGTTCTTGGCAGCTGCATCTCCCCGCTTGCAGCTGCTGGCACGCTCGACTCCCCTGGGATTTAGAGCTTCCCAAGCAGGATGTGATTGAGGCCAACTCTTTTGCTGGACATCTCCCTCCTCTGGGCTTCCTTCCTTCACTGTTTTTAAAAAAGGGAAAATAGCAACTCCTTAGGATTGCAAATGTCAAATGCATTTGATGGCTTTAGGAAGTGTGCCTTTTTTCATGAACTGCAGCTAATAAAACTGGCTGGTGTAAGTATGTGGTCATTAATGATCAGTCTGGTAAATTCCTTTCAATCTGTACAGAAATCTGCTTTGAATTAAACTGCTGAAATATTTTAATACAGATGCATTTAAAGCAGAAACTGACTTGTGAGCCGATGTGTAACATTTATGTGTGTATCAACTGAAGTGCAAGTTCTGTTTAAAAATGCAAGCTCAGTTTCATTTTTGTTGCTTATGGTTAAAGAAAAGAGCTTTTAATCTATGATCAAAATTATTCCGAATATCAAGTCATTAAGTTTAGCTCTTGCTTTTTATTAAAGCAGTCTTGAATACTTTTTACTGATTTGTTTAAAGCAGCTTGGTGGCTTTTTCATAATATGCCTGAGTTAAAGTAAACCCAAAATATGGAAATACACATCACAAGATAAAGTAAAACATATACCAAATTCACTTTATCAGCAGTTTTAACAAAGTACTGTCATTGACAGCCTTAAATAAGAGGGTGAAAAAGTTTTCTATTTAAATCTGACACACCATGAAAAGCTTCAGTGATTTAGAAATGATTGCTTATTCAGGAGTGAAGTAAAGCCATCTTTTCCAAAAGCTGTCACCTTGTGTATAAAATCGAAGGTATTCATTTTAGACAGTCTGTTAAATACTAACTCTGACTGGGTCACAGTCCTATAACTAACCTCTGAGAATATTATTTTTTGGGTGGCTCTGAAATCTTTTTTAAAAAAAAAAAGTAGTAAAACACTGTACTTGAGGGCTAAAAACCAGTGTCTTCACTTGCATATTTTTCTGATGTAGTTATCTCTAGTCTGAAATCCAACAAATTGCCTTCACTGAATCATCAGAACTCCCATGGTCTCCCAGGGACAGGAGTTGTTGGAAGTTTCTCTTCAGGGGAACAGATGCATTTTGATAGATCGGTTTTCATACAACTCAGACCTAACTTGCAATATTAACTCTTCCTCCCAATCTTCGTTGTTTCAGTTTTAACAATGCATGAAGCTCCTAATACTTAAAAGTGTATATGGCAAGTTTGCCCACAAGTCTGGGGATTTGAATATCTGAAAGAAGTAGGTAAATACAGTGCTAAATGCTTTTTCATAGGAGTGGCTCTTAAGCAGATAGTTATCTGGACAGATCATGTTTGCTTGTCTTGCACTACTGAAGAGAAGAGAAAGGCGAGGCTTCTGCCCATTTAGCAGATACAGGTAGAAATACATTGGTAACAAACTACCTTGAAACCAGGACAGACAACAAATGGGTGTATTTGGTCTTGCAAGGAACATGTAACACCTGAATAACAGTTTGTGTACCAGCAGCAGTGAGAAGGCTATGATGGTTTTCTTTGTAGGCGCTGTGGTGATCAGATACTCAAGAAATGTCCCTCGCCTTTCCAGAGTCACACATGTAGTCAGTAAAATGCTATGCTAGAGGTAAAACAAAGCCATTTCCCAGCATTTTAGACTTTTGCAATGATTATCTTATCAGTAAAATCGTAATGGAACTGGTAGGACCTCAGTGAGACAAATGCCACGTTTTGTTTGCATAAAGGACATAAAATATAGTTCAGCTTCTAGTTCCAGGGCTTACCCAGCTGCTGTGACAAGGAAAACTTGTCAAGGAGAACTTTCTGTGGTGTCAGTGCTATGTTGGTGGCACAAGTGCATCTTCAGGGGAGTAATCTACAGTAAGCATGGGATTAATGTTTTGAAAATACCACAGAGGTGTTGACTCCTCTGATTGTAGTTGACCTCAAAGATTTTTTTTTTTAAAAAAAAAAACAGCAAAGAGTATTGAAGCAGACTTTTTCTTCCTAAAGCTTGAAAAACAAAGCTTGAGCATTGTATGTATTTTCATTTTGGTCCTTGGAAGTTGCAGGGTTTTGGGGAAAGAAAGAATACAGAAGCAATCTTTAGGTAATAAAAATGATAGAACTTCTACTTTGATTTGGTGGAACACTAGATTTTTTTTTTTTGGTCTTCTGGATCCCCCTTTTAATGGGAATTTGGCCTTTGAATTTCTTCAGCAAAGGATGACACAGGTAAAAATAATTGGTTTTTGTTCTCTTAAGTGAGCTTTTGCAGGTTAAGCAGACTTATGCTGGTGCACTTGAGGTGCTGTGGTAGCAAAATCATATCTAGGCAGGCCGTATCAAATTCCAAAAGAATAGGATGTAGCAAAAAGATTCAGGTGGTAAAGATGCTGTTTTTCATGGACTTTTTATTTAAAGTGTGGTTTGGGTTGGGTTTTTATGGTGGTTTTTTTTGGGTTGGGTTGTTGTTTTGTTTTCTTTAAATATAAGCCTTATTGTTTTCAGTCTGGCATGATACTTCAGTACTGAAAAGGAGAAGATAGTATGGCAAAATGCTTTTTATTAGACTGTGATATGCATGGTACAAGAGTGCTGCAGGTATGTTCAGAAATAATGTTGAAGGCATGATAAAAAAATTATTTTCCTTCTTCCAGGTGCTGTAATCCAATGCTTAAAAGCAATGACTGTGTCCATCCCTGTCCACCCACCCTGGGTCTTTAAGCTTGGCTTTTCCATTGGAAAACCAGCTTTGGCTTTTGAATGGAAACCTGCAGAGCTGTGGCTGTGCAGGGTCTCCTGTAGTTGGGCATGCATTTGTCTGATTGCCTTGATGCAATGCGGTATGAGGGGTTTCAAATTGCTGCTTAGAATCTTATTTTTAACTTAAGTGACTGTTTCTCAAAGCCTTACAAATGTGTCTTAGTTCTCATCAGCTCACCAGTGTGGCTGAGGTGTAGTCCATTTTTGAGCTCTCAATTTAGAAATACTAGCTATAACATGGCAGGGGGACGGTGGGCAACTTAAAGGCCCACTCTAAGTCTCTTTGCTATTTAATGACATTTTCCACCGTCTCATGTTAAACAGAAAAACCCACACACTGAATGTGAAGGTTCTGTTTGAAAGTAACCCTAGTATTTTGTTTCTTGCCAATTATTATTAAAGTCCAGTTCTGTTTCTTTTCCTTTTCTCCACAGTGCAAGTACTATTCTTGAGTATTCATTTTAAGCTTTAAAGTTAACTAGCTTATAGGTGAATCTAGTTGGGTGTGAGATGCAATCTAAGATGAGCTGAATGAAAGCAAAGTCTTCAAGATTAATTTGTGGAGTGAAGAGTTTCTGTTTTGTTGTGTCAGCCTATAGAAAATGTTTTTTGTTCTTTCTTTTTTAACAGCATATCTTCCAAGGCTAGTGTTTAAGTGTAACTTTTTATGGTTGATGTGGACTAGGGAGAGACGGTGTATCAGGTAACACCTTTTGTCACATGTCTGAGGAATGCCATGGAAAAAACTCTCCCATCGGGCAAAGGTGCTGATTGTAGAAAATATAAAACTTCAATTAAAACAGGAAAAATAGCCCAATAGATGTCTATACACGTCTTGCACAAGTGGAAAGTCTTTGTATGTTTTTTTGTATATTTTGAGGGCTGGAGAAGAATGAGGAACAGCCACATCTATATTTCTTCAAACATAGAGTATAAATACTCTACGTGTGAATTTGAATTTTGGCATGCATGTTGCTATATTGTAATGGTCTTTTCCTTCATTTATTCACTAAGGCTTTGCTTCTGTTTTTCTCATTAGGATGACAGTTCTGGCAGTCTTGCGTCAGTATCTGCTCTCAGTCTAATAAACACAGGGGTATGAAATTTAATATATATATATTTTTTTAGTTGTATTCAATGCCATGCATGGGACTATGTAGCACCATTAAAATAGAACAAACATCACATTTTCACAGTAGCATGAATATTTTATGGCACTAACCATCGATCATTAGATACCATTAGTAAAATAAACACATGAATCTAACAACTTAAAGTGATACAGTATTATTGTTTGTTGCATGTTATTGAATAGCAGGAAATAGGTCATGCCAGAGCTTGACAGTAATTTACTTTCTATATTTGCTGTGCCTTCTTGCTTAATGTAAAGGTTGTTAAAAGGCTTAATTTGTAATATTTCTGAACACCTTGTATTAGCTTTGAAAATTGATATCCTAGAATCTTTTTCCCCCTGTCACTACGTCACACAAGCTATTAACAGTGGCACTTCAGAACTCCAGACGCTTTTACTTGCTGTTTCCAATATGAAATTGGAAAGCTACGAAAGTGTAGCTATTGAAACTCCTGTTCTATGTCTTCTATTTGCTGTGACTGGTATCCTTCTGAATTTGGCCCAATGCACATGCATGTTGCTTTGAAAACTTTTAATGTAATGCCACACTCTATGTTGAACAGGAATAGTACAAGTTGGCTTTTTAGTTCTGTGGATCTGTTGCTATGGCTTTGTGAAATAGAGCAGTGATGTAACTGCTAGCTGATGTGATACCTATGGTTCATCTTATATGGTCTAGCTGCCCTCAGCTCTTCTTTATTGGGCCCAAAGCCCATGGCTTCATATTCTTTTATAAACAACGGAAGATGAAATGATGCAACTTGTTACATATCCAATTGAGGAAAAAATAAAGTAAATGAACAATTGAAGATGGATGGCATTACTTTAGAAGGTTGACCTAGAAACTCTTCAGTGTCTGGTTGTTCTCTTGTACTATGAAGATCAGTATTTTTCCCTCCTTCAATATAGGTTCTTCCTATATGGCCTGCAAGTTAGGAAAGAATGTACTGCTCTGTCTGTCTGAATAGCATCTGGCATTCTTAGTTCTGGGAAAATGTCTAGTTTATGACTCACGGAATTTTTCAGTGACCTGTACTCTTGCTATAAGCACTCCTTTGTTAATAATCACCTTGTAACCAGTGCTAGCTCAGCAATTTTAACATTTAACCTAGGGCACACACACATGATGACGTAGGAGGGAATCCTTATGCATTAGCTGAAATTCTTCTTACATAATTTTTTTAATTAGTTTTATTAAGGTGATGTAGATGGGTGTCCTCCTAAGTGATTTTATTAATGCTTGCATTCTTGGATGATTCAACCCTGTGTAAAATGAAGGGAAATAATCTTACTGATGATATTTCTAGTTAGCTGTAGAACATTGTGAAAATAATCACATAGATGTTTTTAGAGGCCCATCTGGTCCACCAACGCACACGTGTGTAGAGAGGAGAGGGGTTAAAAAACACTTGCAAAATATATGGCAATCCCGACTGCCTCCTCAACAGAAGCCATGATTGAATAAAATCTGTTTCGGTATCAGGCTTAGAATTTTGGGGGAGTAAAGCATGTTAAACTGTCATACACAGGGTGCATGCTTTGTTTACTTGGAGTATTAGTATGCATTGACATCTACTTTAAATAGAGGCAATCCTTAAGATAGTGAAAGTTAATTCAGTATTGCCTACCAGGTCACTTTCTCCACCAGCATACCTAAAACATAATTGGATCTGTGGTGCTTAATCTGTATAATTAGCACTTTCAGGACTTGTGAGGACTTTCACAATCCTTGTAAACTAGGCTTTTCTCACTCATTTCCAGGAGTTCAGCTTTTGTTATTGGACTCTAGATATATCAAAACTTATCCCAGCAAGGCGCATGTTAAATTTCATGGTCAATATTTATTCCATTAAATCTCCTATAGTTTGGGCACTGTAGATGCAAGTTTGTCTTCTAAAATCAAATCATTATGTGCACGTTTAGTTAAATACTTCAAGCCCACAAGCATACCCTACTTAAGGTCAACTAATGCTTTTGGAATGCTGCGATGCAGCTGACTTTCCTTTCTGTAAGGCAGTTTGCTTCCATGCTGGAAGAAGCAGCTATGGGCAATTACGCATCTGTTACCCAGTGCAATCCAGTAGTGGTTATAGATATCTAAAGTAGCTCTGAGTGGTCTAGCTGTCCTATACGGTTCTTCTAAGGAAGGATGAAATAAACTTCAGATTTGTATATTTTCCGTGTAGATAGCAAAAAGATACAGGCAATAAAGACCTCTGCAGGTTTATTATTTTTCTTTTGTTTAAAACATGAGGGAATGTTTTTGGTTTGGGCTTTTTTTTTCTTTTTTTAAGAAGGTACAATTTGGGATATCTTTATCTTCTTAAACACAAAGGCAGTTTATAAGCAGAAGAGTGTTTTTCCCAGCCCCATTTACCTGTTACTTGTCTGTAGGTTAATAGGCTTATTTGTATTTCTGTAGGAATAAATACCAGAAATATAAGTTCCTCTACGTATCAGAGTGCTCTTAAATATATTGTCACAGTGTTTTTCAGGAAAAACATACGTTAAGCCTGTTAACAGGTTAATTATTGGCAGTCAATGAGAGGATGCCATTACAGCCTTAATGAGATAACTATTCTTTCTATCAAAGCTGAGATTTGTTTTTCTTTTTTTTGGGATTGTGAAATGTCCAGTAACTTTCAATATATACCAGATACACTGCAATAAAGAATTTTTTAACATTCCCTAAGCTGCTGAAACCATACATGTGACACTTCCAAAACATCATTTTTTGGTGGGTTTTTTTACATAAACAGGTCATAGTCTTGAATCCTAACTGTCAGCTGTTCCATTCCCTGGCGTATGCCCTACGTGTTAAGCATTTGACAAGTCGTTTGACTTTAATTTGTATTTTTACCTTGTTATGGAAGACTATTAGCTCAAATCTTTTGAAGTGGAATTCTATGTCAGCTCAAGCTTTCTATCCTGTGCCAAGAATTTTAGACTCTGCATCAAATGCATGGTTAAGGCTATTGGATTTTAACATCTAGTAATACAAAATATTCCAGAAAAAAAAAAGGGTATTTTAGTTGCACAAACTAGTGAGTTCTGTGCATGTCTGATGGTTCTGGGATCTAATCTTCAAGTAAGTTTCCTAGATCACAGGCTTCTTGAGGAAGAAGCATCTTCTGTTGGGAAGTTCTGATACTTTGGAGTATGTTTCATCTTGGGGAGTGTGCAGCTATGACAGTTTGAGTCTCAAGCTATTTTGGTCTCTGCTTTGATTCTTTCTATTAATGCTTACAGTTTACCCTCTGTTCATGTGTTCTTTTCTTGCAAAAACCAACTGTTCATAAAGTGTAATTATTTCCAGAAACACAGTTGAGTGAGTTCTGCCTTTTGTGGAAATCCCTGCTGAAGGTTTTTGGGTGGTGTTTTTTTTTTTTTTTTCCTTTGTTGCTTTGGAAATAGTATGTCAGTTCTTAGCCAGAAGCACTAGCACTATTCAGCTGTGTTGCTTGTAATAAAAAGGTGACAGTGTCTTCATTTCTTATGTCCATCTTGCAGTGCTTTTTTGATTTAGCTTGCATACAAATTAGGTATGAGGATGGGCTGAGAGAGTTGGGATTGTTCAGCCTGGCAAAGAGAAGGCTCTGGGGAGACCTTATAGCGACCTTCAGTACTTAAAGGAGGCCTACAGGAAAGGGGGGTGGGGGGGTGGTTCTGTATCAGGGAGTGTAGTGATAGGACAAGGAGTAATGGTTTCAAACTGAAAGGGGAGATTTAGGTTAGGTATTAGGAAGAAGCTCTTCACTGTGAGGGTGGTGAGACACTGGAACAGGTCGCCCAGAGAAGCTGTGGCTGCCCCCTCCCTGGCAGTGTTCAAGGCCAGGTTGGATGGGGCTTTGAGCAACCTGGTCTAGTGGAAGGTGTCCCTGCCCATGGCAGGGGGGTTGGAACTAGATGATCTTTAAGGTCCCTTCCAACCCAAATCATTCTATGATTCTATGAATGTTGAAAAGGCTGGTACTCTTTGAGCTTCCTCATCTCTGACCACTAAATAAACTTGATTTTGTGGCTTCTGTTACGAAGTACTGGAAAACATGAAAGTAAATTGGAATTTCTACCAAGAATATGGGGGATGGCATTGCTATGGTACTGCAGCCTGGATGCTGACCTCTGGATGCCATCATAGGACACGTTCCTAGTTTAAGAATGTGCTGGAGTATCCTGAGGTATAAAGCATGGTAGGAATGTCTATAATGTCTCTGGTTTTACATGGAATTAAATAATTTTAGGCTTAAGAACGTGTAGATTTGTTCATACAGTGAATGTCGGTTTTCTGATTTTTGTTGTGCTTGTGTGAATTACAACAGAACTCTACCAATCTTGTATGTCCAGTTTTCAAGATGCTTGTTTGAATGTGCCAAATCGTGTTGGATGCATATTATTTTCAGTCAAAAGTTGTCTTGGAAATTACCCTTCAGGAGAGGAATATGTTCTAGGAGATTTGTATAACCACTGTTCCTGGCCAGAAACTTAGAAATATTTAGAACTGAGTTGTATTTAAGAACAGTTGGCTAGTAACTAGAACTTTTAAGTCCTTGTGTTTACAAAGAATTAGGTTTTTAGTTTGAATGTATGTGTAAAGGGTGATAGCAAACAGTTGCTTGCTCTTTTTCTTTACAAGGTGCACATTTAGGCTTTTTTTTTTTTTTTTTTGAAGACAGAAAAGCAATAGAGCTTCTCCTCTAGTTGAAATAGTAGGCTGGTTGCTATAGATTTGTGCCTGTCTTTCCAGGGCACTAACAAAATGAGTTATGTGGTACGTTGCCATGGGCAGAATATGATACAGTGGTTAAATGGTGGATAGCTGGAAGGGTAGCTGAAGACTTTGGCCAGGTGTGACGTGGAAAACACTTCAAAAGACACTGAGAATGTTTAAAAATCATTCTTTGACTTGTTTTGTGGAGGTTCAATCACCTTTTCTCATCAGTTAAACTATTGTTCTGACTCCCACCACTAAAAAAAGAAAAGGGCAAGAAGTCCAGATAACTTCCTCAGGGTCTGAAAAGTATAGTGTCATATAATGCTTGTGGCCTTACCACTGTGAACACACCTGACCTCTGAATCTAACAGCTTGGGGGCTGGTTAGTACTTGGATGGGAAACCACTTAGGAATACTGGGTGCTGTAGCCTCTGCCTAGCAAGAGTGGAATCTCCATCCTTGGTGATATTAAAAGAATCTGGCTGAACAAGGCCCAGTGCAACCTGCTGTAATTGATCTTGCTTTGAACAGGGAGGCTGGACTAGATGGTACCTTCCAGCTTCACAGATTCTGTGATAACTTTCTCTTGAGATGAGATTAACATGACATCTTTGAGGTTATACTGTTTGGATCATTTAATGTATTATGCCTAATATGGAAGAAAGAACAGCAAGTTTTTTAGAGATCATTAAAATGGGTAAGGGGAGGAGGCTGGGGGCAGAAAGCTTTAAGCCACCTTAGTGTTAGGCAAACACTTTGTGCCTTCTCTGGAAATCTGAGGCTGCATTGTTGTGTTTGTAAGAGGTCTTTTCCCATTTAACTTTATGGATTTCAACTTTACTGCACTTTAAGCTATATAATTGCTTTAAAGTTGTCAGCTCTGTTTCTATAATGCTGTCAATGAACACTGACTGTGTAAAGCCCTCTGTTTCTCCCTGGGAGAACTAATGTGTACAAAAAGCTGCATATTAGGTGTGAGAGTCATTTGGAAGCACTTTCTAGAGAAGATTTATGTTTGATTGGAAAGATGTATGACCTAATTAGTAATTGATCAATTTTTTTACTTTTGGTGACTTAAGCATAAGATACTTTTTTTAATCTGAGACTGAATTTACTTACACAATTGTTAAAGCAACAGATGTTTGAGAACAAACTGGTTTTAGATTAAAAGAAAAAAGCTTGTACAAGTTAGAGCTCACTTGGCTGTGCTTGAGAATAGAGCTGTGCGATCGGTGAAAGTACATTATTAAAGTATCTTGAATTAGTTATCTTAAAAAGATGATTTTTCAGCTCTTAATGTTCTACGTTGTAATTCCAGCATGTGGAAGGCTTGCAGAAAAACTAGTATTTAGCCTTCATGCCTAAGGAGAGTGTGAACCCACAAGCTAACTTGGTTTGGCAATAAGTTAAAAAAATCTTCTCACTGATAACCTTTTAAGATTTGCTCGATCATATGAATGAGTTTCCCAGGAACTTGGCAGTAAACTTTTATTTACCAAGGCTGAAAAAGAGGGAATGTGAGATTTGAGGTTTTCATGTGGCCCTGTCTAGCCTTTTTCCTAAAGGCTGTCTCATATTTCTGTTTTGTTGAGTTGCTCTTGGAACAAGGAATGGGATTCTTCCTCAGAATCTTCTGTATATGTATTAAAGCTGTTAAATATTTATCTCTAAGTAGATTGCATGTTTTAACTTCTGAAAGAGACATTATGTGAAACAGACTTGTAATGATAAATATTGTTATATTGTCACTGAGTATAGTGTAGGTAGTTCTGGATAATGTGTTTGGTGGCCTCGCTGAAGGCTTCAGAAATGTGAGGAGTACCGAATCTTAAAGGTGGCTAGAATCCAAAGGAAAGAAGTGGGAAGACACCCACATTCTTGGTTAGTGGGGTTTTTTTGTTGATGGCAGGTTTTTTTTTTGTCAACTTCACATATTACTTAAATATACATGAGACTAATTAGTTTGGGAAGATTATACAGATTTTCTAACTGATCCTTGGATGCTCACTAGTAATACTGAACTAGAATAGTTCAAAGATTAAGTTGATACAAGAAACTGCTTTCTCATTTAGCTTTACTTAGCAGTCATGGAAAGCTACACTGTCTTGCTATAAAAAATTTCAACTTGTAATGTTTGCTCCTTGCTGTCTTAAATTATTTAATATTATATATTTTAACATTATTTAATAAGTGTTAAGTAATATTATGCTTACTAATTAGAAGTGAGGCTGAAAGTTGAAATTTAATTTTTATCAATAATGTTTAGGAATATGAAGCACGGACAGGAAGAATGTATAAACCTCCACCCCCATCAGCAAGACGTAAAAACATTGAATTTGAACCACTTTCAACTACTGCTTTGATTCTGGAGGATCGACCAGCGTAAGTATGATTCTGCTGTGAACTGATGATGACTGAATTTGTTAGATATGCTTCTGATGAACTAAACTTCACAAGCCTTACATGAAAGTATCATTGGATTATTCCATCCCAGATAGTAGCCTAACAAATACCTCCAGAAGAACCTTTAAGTATATTATAGTCTATATGAGGAATTGTTTCTCACTGTAATGGGGCCTCCAGTCTGTTATCTACTGTATATCACAGCTGCCTGTGACAAAGTTGTGGGCATCATTAATCAGGAAAATTCCTGAAGGCTTTTATGGATTTCTTCACTGCCATCTCAGTGTGCACTTCTTTCTCCTTCCCCCATTCTGGAAACTTAATTTCCTAGACCAGTCGGGAAGACTGTATAGTGGCAGTTGTCACTTCAGCAAACCTGGACTTGGCTTACCTGAAGAGTTTTTTAAAAAAGAAAAAAAGTATTAGGTAGGTAACAGCGGGACTGGGAAGAATTGCCTTTGAAACGCAAGAAATACCTTCCTGCCACAAATGCTGAATGCTTATTTTGTATCTGGAAACTATAGTTAAATGCTTTGTTGGTACCAAGGTGATAGTGTTCACTGAAACTGTTCCTAGCCCCTGTTTAAGTTATGTTTTGTGGCTCCTTAAAACTACAGCTGAAGGCAACGAAACAGCAGATGGAGATGCAACAAAAACTGCATTAAGTACAAATAAGAATAGTAATGAAAAATGGGTAATAAATTGGTCGGTATTTTCACCTATACAGTCTTGAGCAACTTGAAGGAAAGAGGAAGACCTGCTGACTAGGAACATACACTGGATGAAAGCAAATGGAGCAAAGCTTTCAAATTGCACCTTCAGAAAGCTTGTGATGGCACTGTTAAATGTTTGCTTTAATCAGTTCCAATCAGGAAATGAAAATTAGAACATACAGTGTTTCTTCCAATAGTCTCTCTAGTGGTCTATAAGCTCATTCAGTGCTAAGACTGAAAAATCCTGAATGGAGGTACGGATTGCTCTGATTACTGTTTTGTAAATGCATTATTTCTTTTACTGTATGGTGGAGAGCAAGATATGCAGTAAGTGGTTTCCTGATGCTTTTCTGTACTATCAGAATGTCACAATTCAAACTAACATGAGTATGTTTTTACGAATGACGCTTCCGCTTGTTTCAAATTGGAATGCCATCCCAAGTGAGTAATGTGTTGCCACAGTCTCATCCTTGAAAATACATTCTGCTCTCACTTTCATTGGAAATATTAATAAAAGCGATCTTTTCTGCTTGTATAAGAGGAGATGGAAAACTTTTTTTTCTTCTTTTGCACATTAAGATGACAAAACTGTCTTCTGCTTATTTTGAACCAAAGTAGAGTAGATATTGGGTAAGAGACTGAGACCAAACATTTTGTTCTGATTTGTTTTGGAATGAGTCTGCTTGGTCAAAAGGAAGTATGTGTTTGGCAATTAGGGGTTCACTATGCAGCCAAAAACTGAGTGCATTTTAAGCTGGTGAACTTGTAGTTCTGCAGCAAGCTTCCTTAGCTTTAGCTCTGAGATAAATGGGGGTCTGTTCTTTCTTCCTTTGGTAAACCTGTCTTCTCTTGTGGGATTTTTAAATTCTAAATTAATGAAAACCTTTACCTTTTATTGAAAATGTGTCATCGTAGATTTCATATGAACTAATGGAGTATCGATATGCAGGTATATTTAATGATTAAAATATGTATGTGCAGAAATGCATTGGAATAAATAGCTATATAGAATATCAGTATTTCCCTTTTGTCACTTCATGCAAGATGTTCAGCAAATATAGTAACCCTGCTTTGGAGCTAAATGGAAGCAGTAAACATCTGGTAGTCCTACTGCTGTTACTGGAACACTGGTAGTGTGACAACCTCAAAGCTCACCTTAGAGAGAAGCCAAATTAAAACCTGTTTTGAAGTGGTTCAGAATGTCATTTGTGTGTATTGAATTCAGGAACAACTTGTTTTCAGAAATCTTCCTGCCAAGTCAGTGGAGGAGGCTTTACGTCACCGACAAGAATATGATGAGATGGTGGCAGAGGCAAAAAAACGAGGTACGTTAACTGCCAATAATCACTACAATTCTTTTTAACTGTTCAGCAAAAATAATTTCTGGCTAGTAGGTACAGTAAAGAACAACCTTGTTTAATATCTAGGTTATTCTCTGGTGCATATGTACACACAGTTTAAAACAGAACTTAATTATCAAATTGGGTTTTTTTATTCCACCACAGTGAATGTAACTGGGTTCAGAAGTCAGTTTAACCTTTTCTTTAATTTTTAAGTAGAATCCTGATGGGTTTTTTGTTTTAAACTACTTGTGTGATGTGATCAGCTAGGAACTTTCTGGGTGCTTGGACTCTTTTTCAAGCTGTATTGCTGCAGTTGCCACTGAAAGTCAAAGTATAATAAAGGTGACTGCTTAAAGAGATCTTTTTTTAGGAATTTGAGATCAATTCCAGTGTGGAGACAGATGAAAACTTTGGGGCTTTTTTTCAACCAGCTGTACCTGTGTGAAGCTTCCTCTAGACCTACTCCCACTAGATCTGGTTTTTTAAATTAAACATATCTGTAGCATCTGGTACTGTGTCAGTCTATGAATAGTTGTTGAAAGGACTAGTCTCGTGCCTAGTATTCAGGGAATAAGCTATTTTAAGAATCTGTGCTGCATGTTTTACTTGGGCTGTTTTCAGAGATAAAGGCTTCTTAGCTGATTGAGCCTCTATAGACCTGTGGCAGCTTACTCTGAAAGGCGTAATAAGACAACCAAGGCATTTAACAGATCATTTACTCTTCTCTTGTGGTGTGCATCTGTAAGGTGTGATCTGTGCTCAGTGTTCTCTAACTGCATCTGTGGAGGGTCAGTCATGTGTGGTGTTTTAGCATGTGTGCCCTAGTATTCATTAAATTAACCATTGCTTCACACACAAAGCTTCAGTAAAAACTGAATGAAGGCTGGTCAGCCATATCACTTTACCAGGGATGCCGTGTTTACTCTATTGATGGGTCTAATGCATGCCTAAATAAAAAAATGTCTTGCAATTTCATAGTGGTTCTTAGTGATGTCAAGATAGCACTTCTTTTAGCTTTTTTAGTAAGAGGAATCTACAAACAATTCTTTTCAAACAGAAGGCAGAATACTCTTCTCTTTTGGCTTTGTCTCAGCTCTTTAGGTCCTCTTTCCACAAAAGCAAATACATAATTCTTCTAGGTGGAAGTTTCAGTAAAATTTAAAATTTGATGTAGAAATGCCCTTTTGAATAATAATTTTATCTATAATTATTGCTGATTAGTCTAAGTAATAAGTAAGGTTTGGGTAGAACATGGTGTGAAATTCCTTACAGGAAAACCAGCTTGCTTTTTAGTCATTCTGTGTACTGCAGAAAAGAGTGCTATGACTTTTTTAGCCAAATTTTTGCTTGTCTAAATCACTGTGTATTTGAATAACTTGCAGACAGCTTAAATTAAAAAATTTCCTGAAAAATACACCTACGATCCACAGAAATAGTACCAGCTAGCTCATATGCAACTGTAATTTACCCTTGATCTTTCATACATCTAAATAACTAGATAATAGCTCAATTATTACCCAATAATTTATATACACTAATACAGAATCATTATGCCTAACAGAAATTAAAGAAGCACATAAAAGGAAAAAAATAATGAGAGAGCGTTTCAAGCAAGAAGAGAATATCGCTAGTGCTATGGTGATCTGGGTCAATGAAATACTACCTAACTGGGAAGGCATGTAAGTCAAAGTTCTGTTGTGTAAATGAGGCAAGGCTGGCTTGTTTCTCCCCTTGAAACAGAGGACCCACATATCTTATTTTCCTTTCTGTTTTGTCAATAAGTCAGTTTTTGTTGCCACAGTATAGTGAGAGGTTATTACAGAGCAACATGAAACTTGCTTTCTGGGAGCTTAATGTTTGGGGGTTTTAATGGGGCTTTAGCATAAGCAGAGATCCTTGAGTATTCATTTGGGAAATAGTATGCTATTTTGCTTTGTAAGTTGCTCAATGATTTTAGAAAATGAGATGTGCAATATGTGCCTTTTTTCCTTCTTTTTTTATTCTTTCTCCTGCTTCCCTATCTTAGGCGTGCTACCCGAAGAGTTCGAGAGCTGTGGTGGCAGGGATTACCCCCAAGTGTACGTGGGAAGGTTTGGAGTCTAGCTGTGGGAAATGAATTAAATATCACTCCTGGTATGTCTTAACAGATCACATTTTAATGCAAAATTAAGTTGGTTATTTTCAAAGAAAAATTTAAACTTTTGTTTAAAAAAAAAAAAGAAAATCAGGGTGTATTTGCTTTTTGAAGAACTGTATTTTTCAACCTTAGGAACAGGTGTGTTTTACAATTAGACATGGCCGGTAAGTTATGGAAACAATGTTCAAAACCTGCTTACAAAAATCATTTTAGTATTACAAGAGCTAAGGTGGTGCCCCCCTCAAAAATAATTTCTATGTTTTAAATTGAGAAATTTAAGTAGCTTTGCTTTCTGAAGGGGGTGGAAAGGGGAATTGCTTTATTTTGTAACTAATGATTTTAATGAACTGAAAGTGTTCCAACCTATTCACAAAAATAAAAATCTGAATTAAGACATGTTTTCCCTCTTGTAATTTGCATGATCACCACAGAAGAAAGTATAATACAGTGTACACTGGAACTGTGTGTAGTGGTACTCCAGTGGTTAGTGGTAACCTTCTAATCGATTCTCCTCCCGCCCCCAGTTGTTAAGATGAAACCAAGTAACAAAACCTAAAGCCAAGAATACTAGTGTGCTTTTGTTTTGGATGGGTTTTTTTCTTACTTCCTTTGTTGTTGGGTTTTGGTTTGCTTTCTTGCAGAACTTTATGAAATCTTCTTGTCGAGAGCTAAGGAACGATGGAAAAGCTTCAGTGAGACGAGTTCTGAGAATGACATAGAAGGTGAGATCTCCTGAATGCTGGACAGCTTCCTCTTCGCTTTTACAAAGCCAGGATGCGTCCCAAGTTCAGCTGCAATTGCAGCATTAGGAATACTTGTTAAAAG